GTTTTTTTCTTAAGAGGGGGGTCCAGCCAAGAGTCTCTCAGAATTGTCGTTTTTGGTGTTTTTGGTTTTCCCAAGTTTTTTTTGGTTTGTTATTTGTTTCTTAGGGGGGTCCAGCCAAGAGTCTCTCAGAATTGTCTTTTTTTGTGTTTTTGGTTTTCCCAAGTTTTTTTGGGTTTGTTGTTTTTTCTTAAGAGGGGGGTCCAGCCAAGAGTCTCTCAGAATTGTTTTTTGGCATTTTTCTTAAGTGTTTTTGATCCTTTATGCACCTGAGCCTGTATCAGTGTTTCTGTTGGTTTTGACTGTGCCACTGAAGCATTTACCTAAAATGTATGGAAAACCAAAACTCAGGCCCCATGGCCACCCCTTCCGAATCTATTTTAGTATTTATATATATATATAGGAAACACCTTTGACCCAACTGAATGACTTGAAATACCGTTTTACTCTTTCACTGCGGTCTGCACGGGCGGCGTTTTGCGGCCCAAACAGTCAGTTCTATGGTCAGTCATTGCGACTGCCAACTATGATGCAAGGACCTCTGTCGGGCCTCCTGTACCTGGACTGCCAACGCAGGGTCGCTCCCTGCGGCAGGTAGACAAGCAAGGCCATGTGCACGACGACGTGTGGATCCGCCAGGCAGATTCTTCTGGAACCAGGCATCAACTGCATCCCGGCGGACCGGGGACCAAGCCAACGGTAAGCACTGGCTCCAATGCGACAAGATTCCCGAACTAGGGCGCTGAAGGAGAAACAGCCGACGCGCCTGGATATACTGCAGCAGCAACCTAAGTGCCCGCCTAAGCCACTTAACCTGTTTTGGAAACTCATGGCCACGAAGGCGTTCCAGCCCTGGCAGATTGTGGTCACTCCATTGTCGATTGTCGGAGTGATAGTGAGGTCCCACCTTAAAGGTCAACTGGTAGTCCACGTACAATTGGGCTGGCGATACCCAACTGCCCCACACATGCCCAGTACTAACAACTTGCAACCATGCCCAAAGTCGTCGTGCCTGCGCTGAGCCAAACAACCCCCGCAAATCATCAGGCATCGCTGCTCCCAGAGGAAATTTGACACACTGCACCAGTGGGATTCTGTCATCAGAATGGTGAACTGTGGTAGGGGTTGCAAGTCCCTTGTTCAGCCTCAAAGATTCTTCTCCTATGGTGCAATGGAGCTTGATGATGTAGTTTCCGATGGCTTCGGCCTGTTGCATCTGTGACAACAAGGAATTCCTTGTACTGGTCCGCCATGTCATTGAAGCACCGGGCCCACTCCTCAACTGGGCCATACACCTGACCATCCACATGGGCTGCAACCTTGTGAACCGTAATCTGATGCTCCCGACGCAGTTCAATGGCCAACAGGTCCCAAAGGTCTGCATCATGCGCATTGGGTCTTCCTGAGGCCGGGTCTTCAAGCAGCATCTGGAGCTTGTTGACGACGTTGGCACGATCTGACCATATGCGCGTACGCCTCCCTGACCTAATGCCAATCCTAACTGCAGCTAACACAGCAATGATCTCCGCTCTTCCACTTGTCTGCCAAAGTCCGTGCACCGGACCCCCAGCCAAGCATTCCAAACTGCTACCACTCTCACAGCAATGCCCTTGAACGACTGCCCAAGCTGCCAACCTAAGCCTGGAACTGTGGGAAGAGACAGCTACCGTCCGTAAATAAATCCAGCGTGTCACCTGGGACAGGCGACTCCAACGAAGATTCTGCAATCTTTGGAGAAAGGGGATGTACTCTTGTGGTGCTTGCATCCAACAATACAGTCTGGTCCACTCCGGTAAAGAGTCACAGTCAGGCGGCCGAATGTCAGAAAGCTGCCCCCGCACAACCTGGAACTTGGGGCACATCCAAATGCGATGATCAATGCTGTCTGCAGCACAGCAATGGACACAAGCTTCACTTCCGTCAGGTGTGGAGTACTTCAATCCATCCTGGGTAAAGAATGTTCCATCATGCGCCGTTCGCAAAAGGCCTCGTTGGGTGTCTGTCAGCTGCAGGTGGGACCCTTGTGACAATTGAGCATCAGCCGTAGCGAGCCCGGCAAAGCCACGTCGCTGTTGGCACAAAGTGCAAATCATCCCTTGCCAAGCGAAAACGGCTCGGAACTCCAACTCGTTCAAAGAAATTCTCCACAAGCTGAAGAATCCAATTCGATCTTCCAGCAGGCCTTGCTCAGTATTCCAGCTCCAATGAATGCGGAGGCATCCATGAAAAAACACCCACAACGGGCCTGGTGGAAATCGCCCCTGAAGTTCACCAAGAACCCATTGTAAGTCAATTTGAACTTCCTGCTCATTTTGAAGCCTCCGAAAATCAAGCAAGGTGTGCCAAAAAGCGAAAAAATCGGGGTCATGTATTGGATGGAAATGTAACCCTAGAAGAAGCATCGAGTTTGTTCCAGGTTTGTCCAAATGAAGTCCCCGAACCGCACTGGCTCGCAAGGAAGCGAACTGTTGCTCCCAATTATCCACGTAGGACGTAGGAACACAGCCAGGGGATTTCACCTGCATCCAACAATCAAAACCAATGGCGATGGCCGCGATTGCCACGCATGACAGAGGATCACCTTCCGGAAAGCCATTACAACCCAGAACTGGGTCTGCTCCCAAGGCATTGCACAACATCCATGTAGGAATCCTGGGCAACACATTGAAAGCTTTTACAAGGTTTGCCACCATGCCCACCAATGGTCAATCATAAATTTGCGCTTGCTCCAATCGAAGTTGCAAAGCAAACCAGACTTGTCCAGCTGTCTTACCCGGCAAATTGCCAATCACTTGAGGACCAGCAAGACGACCCAAATGGCATAGGGCCTGCCGTGCCCGGATAGTGCTCCAAACTCTGTAAACCATGGACAATACCGTTATGGGGCGAAATTGCTGAACTTTGGAAGCTCCAGGGACTTTGGCCAGCGCAGTGATGATTCCAACTAGTGCCTGGATGGGGAACCCATATTTTTTTAGGATTTTTGTTCGCGTCCCTTTTGGGAATTTGTTCACCATTGGTGGTTTGATAGCTTTCTGTTAGCTTTGGCTTTTGGTGGCTTTGGGCTTTTGGTGGCTGGTGGCTTTTGTTGGCTTTTGGCTTTTGGTGGCTTTTGGCTTTTGGCGGCTTCTGGCTTTTGGCGGGTGTTGGCTTTTGGTGGCTTTTGGCTTTTGGCGGCTTTTGGCTTGTGGTGGCTTTTGGCTTTTGGCGGCTTCTGGCGGTGTTGGCTTTTGGCGGCTTTTGGCTTGTGGTGGCTTTGGCTTTTCGTGGCGTTGTTTGCAACTCACAGACGACCATGAGATATTGTTTTTGGAATCCTCGCATTGCTTCATTCTTTCACGCGTGAGCTCTGAAGTGTAATCTGCACGAAATCTGCACTTCGAGGTTCACGAAATGCTCCGCCTGCCACAAAATGAGCAACTGAAGGTACTCAAAATGCTATGCCTGCCACGGAACCACTATGTGAAAGCGCTACCAGAAAAAAATAAAGAGCGCGAAAAAAATCCTAAAAGAATTTGGCGACCCCTGGACGGGCCACTTGCCACACTATTCTGCATGATGAAAAATGTCAATCAGTTCCTGCGTCAAGCCATCAGGCAGCTGCAGCAAGTCTAGTCGACTAACCCCATCCGGCCCTGTGGCCGGCCGACCGCTTTTTCTTGGTGAGGACTGCTTTTCTCCACTGAAGCAAGGTGATAGGTTCAAAGGTCATCGCAGCTGTGGTCAGTAGTGGAAGAAGCTCTTCCTGGACCCATTGTCAGCATTCCGATGCCACCACTTGTCCCACTCAGTCCCAAAGGCCCAAAACAAAGAAGGAAGATCACCAGTTGCACTCTCTTGGCGAGCGACATTCCCCGGAAGGATACCAGAAATATCTTCCAACCAAAGTTTGTCAGGAGCTGCATGGATGATATGTCTTGGGAGACCAGCAACGATGACCGGAGAGTGTGATCGAAACTGCGTTTCACTGCACAAAGTCACAGCTGACTCGGCTAGATCAACCTCTTCGAACTCGCCCTTTGCCGATTCAATCAAAACTTCCACTGAATTTGCCTGCTCAGCTTTGAGGTCACGAAAGATAAGGCTTGGGTCCTCGGCCCGTCGGCGATGAGCTTGACGACTTGACGGATCCGAGTCCATGTCAACTGATTTTCCAGTGATCGGACCCTGCCTCGGAAGTGATCAAAAAGACTGTAAGCAACCGCGTACGAGGGAGGGGTCAGCGGTATCTTTGGAGAGGCCCCTTCGTCCGCTGACCCATAAATGGACCACCAGTGTGAGAAACTTCTGCCAAACCCTGGCGCTTGTCGAATGGCCCACCAAAGTTCACGCTGTTGATGGTAGTGAGCGGAGGTCATCTCCTCACGATCCAGGCGGTAGTATGTTTGTCGTTTGAGTTGTCGGAACCATTGTGCACTAGTAACAAGGTTCGCTAGTAGAAACAAGTGCCACGCTACTAGTAACAGGTGCCTTACTAGTAGTAACAAGAAGCTATCAATTATCAATTTTAATCTAATTCTAATATGCAACCTCGAAGGACAGAAATAGTTTGGCATCTCATCTCCACTCCGACTCTTCGAATGGGAGGTACCTGGTCAGATCGAACCTGGATGTGCATGGTGTCAGCACTCCCACAATGAGCCGCCTAAAGAGGACCTTGTTGG